TTGTTCAAGCACTTTTTCAGAAGTGCTGTTTATGTCTCCATAAATCAGCTGATCGATTATTTCGCCGGCTGATGGCCTGCTACGACTAGCAGAGGCGTATTTTTGGACGACTGAAGGGTCGAGAGGTTCTACATGTACTAAATGCAATTCTTCCGGACACGTGAAAATACTCGACCATGGCAATTATATTTCAAAGCGGCAACCGATCTCATACCCAAAACTATCGTGGTGTTAACCGAACACCGGCTGTAGCTAAAATCTTCGAGAAAATAGTCTACAAACTATTGCTGGACCATCTCATGAACGCCAACCTCATTCCCCTCTCCCAACATGCATTTTTACCTGGAACGTCATATCAGTCCGGCCACCTTACTTTTTTGGAATTCGTTTCCAGCAATAGAGATGATGGAAACACAGAATCTTCAATATACTTCGATCTAAAAATGACCTTTGAAAGTCATGAAATTAGGCCACCCCTTCTCGATTTTCTTAAATCCTATCTTCAAAACCGATACCAGGTGGTGCAAATTCGAAACGTAGTCTCAGAACCATCCCCAATTACAAGTGGAGTACTTCCAGGCACTGTCCTAGGCCCCCTTCTATTTCTTATATATATTCACGACTTATCGTCCATATCTGTCTCAGCTAAGACGTTTTTATATGCGGACGACCTGAAACTTGAATATGCATATAACGGGAATACAGTAGCCAATATTCATAGAACAATTGAAACTGATCTCAGAAAACTCAGCGAATGGAGTAGTTAATGGCAGATGCCCTTTTCACCTGAAAAATGCCATCTCCTGATCTTTGGCCCACAAAAACTTCCCCCATAATATTCGTGGATAATGAAATGACGGAGGTCCAATCGATAAAAGATTAAGGTCTCGACTATACAAATATCCTTGATTTATCTCCCCACGTCCAAAAAAATATTCCCGAAAGCCACTCGCCTGTGTGGATTCATATACAAAAATTTCACCTTAAATGTACTAAGAATACAACTTTTCAAAATGTACGTTTTACCTCTCCTAGATTACTGCTCAATTTTATTCGGCATAATGCCCGCAGACGGCCGAAAGAAACTAAAAGGCATTCAGAGACGCTTTACTTAATCTTTGTCTAGAAGCGATGGCACGACTAGGCGTGGGGGTGGTTGTCTTCTTTATCTTAAATCCTACCTAAAGCGCTCTCCCTATTACTTGGATGTTTCCTCATTCGCGGGAAACTTCTGCTTTGCATCTGTTATTCTCTCGCCACAAAGAAAGGCAATTATTGGCTGTATCTACAATCCCCCAAATTCTTTAGCCAGTGATGATTCACAACTCTGCGAAATCTTTAAATTAATTTCAGAAGCTGCTTTCGATGTTAAAATAATCACTGGGGATTTTAACCTTCCTGAAATTGACTGGGTTTCCAATAGCTGCCCACCCAGATTCCAGTCCTTTCAGGATATTATCAATTTTTCTAATTGGTCCCAACTGGTGCGCTCTCCAACAAGAGATAATCACATTTTAGATCTAATCTTTACCAATGACATTGCTCCTCTTTCTGTTGCTTTAAAAAAGGACCTCTTTGACAGTGACCACGTATTAATTCATTGTTGCCTACCGCTTGCCTTTTCAAAAAAGACAAGCGCTGTTCAGACTTTCATGAACTACGACTGCGTAGATAGCGACTTAATAAATAACTATATGAGATCCTTGGATTGGTGTGGCTTCCTCACTTGTAGCGATGTAACCATTCTTCGTGATGTCATGTCCAATGTTTCCAAGGACATTCTAGAGTTTGTGCCGCGTAGATATCTCAAGCCTAATT